GGGGGCGGAGGCGGGGGTCGCGCTGTCCGTAGTCGCCGGCGCCGCGTCGCCGCCGCTGTCGGCGCGCACGCGCGCGCTGTGCGCCGCGCGGCTCGTGACGCTGCTGCACTCGGCGGCGCACCGCCAGGTGCCGCCGCCGCCCGCGGGCGCGCCCGAGGGCGGGGTCCCGAAGAAGGAGCGCGCGGCGGCCGCGGCCGCCGCCGCGGCCGCTGCGCACGAGGCGGCGCGCGCGCGGCAGGAGTCGCTGCTTTCGGGCGTCCTCTCGCTGCTCGACGCCGCCCGCGAAATTCACGGCGCGAAGTTTGCGCGCTCGCTCGACCCCGTCGCAGAGGCGTCCCTGTCCGGCCTTGCTTCCCTCTGCGGAGCCCTCGAGCCGCTCGCCGCCGCGGCCGCGACCGCAGCCGGCGACGCCGCCGCGGCGCGCGGGCGCGCGCGCGCGCTGCTGCAGCTCGCGCGGCTGCTGCGGCTGCAGCTGCTCGCGGACCCTGGGGCGTTCGACGCGCGGCTGGTGCCGGACCTGCAGCGCGTCGCCCTCGAGGGCTGCGGCGCGGCGGCGCTGGCCGAAGAAGTCGCCGCCGCCTCCGCCTCTGTCCGCGGCGGCGGCGATGAGGATGACGATGATGGTGGCGCGTCGGGGGACGAGGACGGGAATGAGGGGCAGGCGGCGGCGGCGGCGCCGCCGCACTGGGCGGACTTGCTGCTTGATGTGCTGCTCGCGCTGCTGAGCGCGCCCGGCGGTGGCGGCGGCGGCGGCGGTGCTGTGGGGCTGCCGGGGGCGCCGCTGAGGGAGGCGGCGGAGGGGCTGTTCAGGGCGAGCGCCGACCAGCTGACGGCTGCTGGTGAGCCGGCTGCTTTCAGATTTGAGGGTCAGCCCTTGGGCTGGGACCCGCCGGGGGCGTCGAGCTGTCAGCAAAGCGTCGCTTGGTCGCCTGCGGCGCTCGCGCGCGCCAGTGGCGGCTGCGTGATGGCAGCACTCGTGCGGCCCCCCGTTGCACGCACGCACACACACACACACACACACACACACACCAACACACACACACACACACCATCTTGCCCTCCCCCCAAACAACCACAAAAACAGGTCTGCAGGACCTGCTGCGCGTGCTGTGCCAGCGCCCCGATGAGGCCGGGCTCCTGCAGGAGGGCGACGAGGACGAGTCCGAGGTCGAGCAGTCCGAGGATGAGGGGTCCGAGGATGATGAGCAGTCCGAGGGCGCCTCGGGCGACGACAGCGGGTCTGAGGAGGCGGAGGCGTCTGAGAATGAGGATGCGGCAGCGCCGGCGGCGGCGGGGCGCAAGCGGGCGCGCGGCGAGGATGGGGAGGAGGAGGAGGAGGAGGGGAGCGGGAGCGAGAGCGACGAGGGCATGGATGACGAGGCGATGATGAGGATGGACGAGCAGCTGGGGGAGTATGTGAGGAGCATGCTCGCCCGCGGCGTCAGCAGCGCCCGCGAGCGCTCCGCCGCGCTGCGCGCGCTGCAGCTCCGCGCCGCCGCGCTGCTGGAGGACTGGCTCAAGCGCCGCCCCCGCAGCCCGCTGGTCGCGACGGCGGTCGCGGGCCCGCTGCTGCGGGCGCTCGCGGCGGCGGCGCGGCCGGGCGGCGCGCCGGCGCTCGCGGCGCGGCTGCGGGG